AATGGAGACCAGAAGATTAAGAAAATGGAGTTTAAGACAAGGTTTCAAACAGGCTATCTCAGTAATGTTTTAGTCTAACACTCCTAACTCCTAAGAGCTGAAAGATATATTTCTTCAAATATCTAATAGATTCCTTCATAAACCAACATGAGTTAATATTACACCACAGCAATTAATATGCAGCAAGTGCTAAATAAAGGTTGTTGATGGAGCTCTATACGGATAGTATTTTAGCGTCTACTATGTGTCTCATTACACACTTTCAAGCGAAGCAAAATATCTCTATCCTCATTTCACAGATCAGGAAACGAAATCACAGTGAAATGTGACAGTTTAGTCTTGGGTCTGCCTGGTGGCAAAGCCTGAACATTTTCCTCTATTCCCCACCATGTTACAGACTCTTTTCCCGGTGGTGAATTTTTCTGCCCAGCTACAGATTGAGAAGAAAATAGAGTGAAGAGAACCGACAGAGAAGACAGTTTCCTTTGCCTAGAGAACTGTTTTTCCCTTTCAACATGGTATATGGTTTTGCTTTTATAATTAACATTCTGCTGATGAGAACTCCCACTGGTGAAGGCTGAGGAGTCAGATTTTCTATGAAGAGCAAGCAGTGCAGGAAATAAATTAATCTCTAGGGAAGATGAGGGGCAAGGCTGTCAGTACTCACACAACTGCCTAATGGAAAATGATATTTTGGAATTGTTCAAAGAATGAAATGACTGTGGGTTTTCCTTCCAGCATATTCTTAAACATTTAAACCTTCTGAGAAGAGGGAAATAGGTTGCTATAAAATGAAGAGCAATCTTATAACATTTTACTTCAGGCTGTTCAGTAGTTCCAAACTGAGATAGTATTTTCTGGAAATGTAAGGGAAATGCTACTAGTGTTACTATTTTGTTTGTATTATGAAAATGCTGCATTGATGTTAAATACGAGGATAAGATTTTTGGATCATCAGTTTGAAATCATCCACTATTTTAAATAAGAGGTTTCTGGTCTCTAGAGTAAAAACATTTATTGCACTTAAAATTACACACTAGTCAGAATAACACTAATTGCTGAAGTGTTCTTTTATTAAAATTGAGAGACAAGCCTATATTTTATGCTGTCAAAAGTACCTACCTCCTTATAACATACATTCAGTCTTCAGTTGAGGTCTTTAATACAGAACTCTCATGTTGTCTAATTCTCAAAGTCATTCAGATAAGGAACTGCCTTTGTTTCATTTCCCATCATAGAAGTGCAATCTGAAGTTTAACATTTAGATTAATGTTAAACTCAATATAACAACTTCTTTATTTTCCTACAGATACATTCTTAATTTCCAGCTTCCAACTTGACCTCTGTGAAGAGTTTTTCCATGGAGCTCTGTCCTCTCCTCCATTTAATTCACCACAGTAAGTGTGTTCCTAGATGTGGGCATCATTTCCATGTGAGTCTCACTGAGAGATGACAGCAGTTGCATCACTCTATGATATCAGAGTAGGCCATAGAGTCAACACTTTCAGAATGGACAGTGTATCCCTCCTATTTTGGTGAAGAAACTCTAACTCAGAAAAGTAAAATATCTTGTGGAAGGCTACATGTCTAGTTTGTGCAGAGCTGGGACTAGACTTTAGGGTATGTGCATTTATTTTCTTGCCTAGGGTTCTCACCACTTCGCAAGTCTAATTTATGGAGGATGGATCATGGGTTTAGCTTAAAGGCATAGGAATAATTAAAAGAGCATAGTTGAAGCTTCAAAAGAAAGGAAATTCCATTAGAGAATGTTGATTAGGAGAGTAAAAAATTTGTTCAGTAGAGAACATTTATGTAGGGCAAAATCAAGCAGGCATATCCTAAAAGGTTATCCTTTCTGGCAAAGATTGCAGTTTCTTGTGAGACACATGAGAAGGGGGGAAAACAGCCTCCTGTTTAGCCAATCAGATAACCTGACGCAATCACTGCAATTCGTGAATGACCTACATAATAATCACATCCTCCTCACAACTACATGGTGCCCCTCTGATACCAAAAGCCTGCCCTTGGCTGAAGGAGGCCACCTTACCCACAGCCATGCCCCTTTCTCAGGGCCATCTGCACTCAATGATTGGCTGATTTGCAAGCTATAATGGCCTGGCCCCAACAGAGAACAACTCTGCTTTTGTTTCTCTGCTTTACGTGTTGTTCCCGAGAATACTTCTTGGTAAACTTCACATGCAAATTTACCCTGGGAACAGGTCATGCAACAAACTGCTTAAAACAAACATTTGCTCTTCACATATGGCACCTACCAAGAAGAGCACTTAAACTTATTAAAAACGGAACCCTGTGCTCTTCCCACTGCAGAGATAAGATGGGAAAGGGGTTCATTAGTGAGATCAGTGCTTCCTTGTCTCTGCACAATTACACGTTTCATGGACTCAGAGGAATCAGTGATTGATCTCCAAAGAAGATTTCTAATCACCTCCTATGTCTGTAGGATTCATAGAGGTCATGGAATTCCCAAGAGGATATAGTTCTCAAAGCAAGAAAAGAAAAGAACAGGCAGAAACTCAAAGATTGCCAGAGCCACATGAGGTAGTCATAACCATCACTTTGCAGAACATACTATTAGGAAGCAGTTTTCCTTAGCAATCAGCTCATAAAGATGCTGAAGTTAATTATAATAGCTATTATTCAATTGGAGTTTATTATGCACTATACCAACTCTAACCTATACATGTAGGTTTTGAAAGAGCCTACGGCTTAGTGTTATTATTAACCCACTTTTACAAATAAAGAGGTAGAGACATTAACAAATTTTTTGTGGTGCACAGCTAGTGAGGAGGACAGACAAGACTTAATCCCAGCAGCCTGAGTTCAGACACCAAAGGTTAACCGCTTAATCATCCTACTTTCAGGGAACTGTTCTTTTAGTAATTTATGAACAAAACAACCTGCAGACCTAGTCACAATGTTTCTAAGACAAAACGTGAGCATCACCAACCAACCAGAGCGAATGAAGGCCCCACGGAAGAAGGAATCCCCGAAATCTGCGGAATGGCTTCCCTCCGCGGCTGAGGCACAGGGAGCGGCTGGCCCTGACGTACAGTTGACCCTGTGCCTGTCTGCGACAGTGAACTCCCGTTAACAAATATGCATTCACACTGAAACGTCCAGGTGTTTACACCCGATTCCAAAATAGAGAATTCCCTTTTGTGTCATTATTAGATACACATTTGAAGTGGTTCCACTTCCTCTAAATGAAAGAATGAGATCTGGGTGTCCAGAAGGAGCAAAAGTAGAGATACAGCAACGCTGTCTTAATCATGTTTTTGTGTATAACATGCTACAGACAAGGACTCTGATGAAACTGCCACTCTTACCCAAGGAAAATTTAGACAGTGACTGTCTTATGTCTAAATATTAAAAAGAGGGGAAAGTTCAAAAAGGGTATTGCTTGCCCATCTGAACTCCAAGGTGGTGACTGAATATTCAGAGATGAGCTATTCATTCCACATCTGGCATTGTATTTCTGCTTTACTTAACTTTTGTGTTCTTACACATGGAATTGCTGTACAACTCTTATTCATAATGGAGACAGTACCTGTAATGTATTACAGTTACAAATGGGAAAGCAAATGAAAATATTGCTCAGATGAGCATACCAAAATTTCTGAAAAATATGCATGTTGAAATTATTTAAGCTAAGTAAGATTTCATTGCATTCTCTGGAATAAATTTAGGAGTCTCACTTGCCTAAAATCTCTACTGTAATTCCAGGACCTCTTTCTCCTTAAACCATCGCTTAAGCCACACAATATATTCGAGGCAGGTGCTGGCCCCGTCTGCAGCATACTCTGCACTATTTGTTCAGGGTGCAAAGTGGGGCTGCCATGTGCCATCTCTGGAAGAGGCACACACAGTGAAAGGTCAGATGATTGAAACAAAAGCTTTGATATCAAGAATTGTGTTATCTGGTACACTTTAGGATCCATAGTCTTAGGAAAAAATAGTTTCTAATAAATTAATAATGGCTTGAGACTCAACATGCTGCAGCAATTTTCACTGCAGTAGCTGTTTCTTTTATAGTCACCCTTGGTTAGCATTTGAAATTTGGAGGAATAGCAATATGCATGGTTTTCAAAGCCCTGTACAGAATTTCATTTTTATCACTCAAAGAGAGTCAATGAAAAGGTAATAAGAAAAGCTCTATGGGATATTTTTATTGGAGTGTCAGAAGCCAGTAAGCTGACTACATGAAAGAACACAGATCGTACAAACAGAGTTTCAGCAGCACCACTTCAGAGGCCTTATGTCTGGTATTGTGACTTTTACATGCCCTTGGAGGAAAAAAGAGGCTAGCTACAAAACCAGATAAGGAGGGGGAAGAAACAAATCATAGGCTTAGGAATAATTACAATTTCATTTTTCCTGCAAACTAAAATATAAAGTTTCATAGAAAAAGTATAATAGTATGGAGCTGCTTTGGTGTGTCTAAAATATTCCCCTTGTTAATTCATTCCAGATTTCTACAATATGGATGTTTGTCGGGGTGGTTTAATTGAATGCTATCAACTTCTTCATAAGTCTATTTGATCCTGTTTTCCTTTTAATAGAGATGAAAACTGTCATATCACCTCTCTGTAAACTAAACTGTCATAATTCAAGTCTCCATTGGATTATTCATCTGACTCTTCTTTAACTGAAAATCTCAATTATGTTCATTTCTTCTCAAGCCATTAATCCTTCTTCTTAATTCTAGCAAAAATTTAAAAATAAATTTTTTACAATAATATAAGTAGTCTTAAGTTCTTTGGACATGAAAACTGTGAGAAAAATCTAATAAAAAACAATGAAGAGACCTATTATTATCATGAGTGTTTAATATTATGGTATCCTTAAAACTTTATTACAATGAAATTTGCAGGCCAGGCAGTCACTTTGACTGGGTTATAAATTCTGCCCCCCATCCACAAAAAAATAGTAGTAAGAATCTGTATACTGTGCATTCGTCCTGGAGGGGTGGTGTAACTGACCTGTGGTTACATCAGTGCCTGCTGCTGCAGTGCCCCACTCTTGCTTCTCTCTTTCTCCAAGTTGGCCAAAGAATTTTGACAACCAGCTGGTACTTTTGAATCCAGGCCAACTTGATTGGAGTGCAGTTTCTTGGATATATCTACATGGAGACTCTGAAATGAAACAGGCCAGAGTGATTGATATTATAAGTAAATTATCAGTCCAAAATGAATGCTTCCCAGAGATATGACAAGGATAAACATTTATCACAGGGCAAATTATTTCTTATATGAGAAACAGAACATTCTACATGTCAAATAGAGTTACAAGTTATATTTTCATCAATATATTTTTTTAATCTAGGTGGGAGATTTTTGTGGCAATCTAAGTGACTAGAATAAGAAGTCATCTCAGAGAAAATCATCTCCAAAGGCGATTTGTATATATTACTTTCTTCTTGTGAATCTTATAGAATATTCTTAATTTAGAACATTTTTACTCAGTTTTCATTTCTATAGTAAATAATGCTGCATTTCATTATATAGTTCATGATTACATACTGAATAATGAAGGGATTTAAATTCTCTGTTATTATCATTCTTTATATAAAACACATCATAACATCAGCCTAAAAATAAATCACACTTGTACCAGTATTATGCAAACTTGACAAAGTTCCTCCAGTCATTTAAGAATAATAATCCATCAAAACCATGAATTATTTAGGCACAACATCAGTAGGCCCTAAAACTCATTTCACATATATGAGATGTCATATAGTCTTTGATGTTGTACTGGTATATTGTATGCTTCAAAAGAATCATCAGCTAGGAGCAAAAATTAAAGTCCTAAATAAGAAATTGAACTTTCAGCACTCAAATTCAGACCATAATTTTTTCAGTTTTAAAGGGATTACAAAATGTTCAGAAATTCATCAAGTTAAAATTAGCCATTTTGGGTGATCCACATATCCATTTTATGCTAACCAAAGGAGAGCATAATGAACAAATGTCCTTAAGTTCCTCCTACAGATTGTATATAGCATTAGGTTCATTACAAGCTTGACTCAAGGGCTTTAAAACTTGGAAAAGACCAATAAGAAAATTAAGGTCTAGCATGATTAAATGATGCACCCAAATTAACAAAATAAACAGTGCTGATTCTGGAGGATATGCCTCCTGACCCTTAGGTGCTTCTCATACCATTCTATGATCCATTGGTTCATTCTATGATCTATTAGCTCGATGTGGTGGCATACTTGCCCCTATGGCCCCAGTTCTTTACCCTCCCCTGGATCTATGTCCTATCTATGTAATTTTTCAGTGTCCTCCTGTTCTGACCTTTGATTTGTCCATGTGGCTTCATCTGGACCAACAGAATATTGGCACATGTAACAAATACAGAGACTTGAAAGATGCTTGCACAATTGGTTTTGCTCATTCTTATCCATCCACTCTGCCGTGAGGACATGCCTAGACTAGGCTGCTGGATGTTGACCGGGACAGAGAGCAGGATCAGGTCATTCCAGTCATCTGAGTTGAGATAAGTAACAGCCAGAGGAGCCCCAGACATTTGGGCAAACCCAGCCTAGATTAGCTGAAAATAATTCAGATCAGCTGAACCCCACAGCCTCCTGAACTAAACAAATGTTTTTGGATGTATGTTATTATGTTCTTCTGGTGAGTGCCCTGAATCTCCAAACCAGGCTCAAACACTGACTTTCTGTTACATAAGGCTCCCACAAAGCTCTGTTCTTCCTTGCCCAGTTGGACTCCTTTAAGCCTTAATCCTTCTCTCTTCCTGTCTCTCTCTCCCCACCCACTTATCATCTCTCACATTCTTACACCGTGTCTTCAGAACTTTGCTCCATGGTTTACAAATTGTACTACGTACTCAACTTCCTTTCAGAACATTACCTTCCTAAAATTTCATTCTCTACTGAGGACAGCACTCTGCGAGTAAACATGGCTGCTGCTTCCTCCACAACCTACATACCCTCAGGTTGATGATACTCTTGCCCACTGTGCTATCTATTGCATTATTACTTCTGTTCAAAAAAAAATCACTGCTGCTCTGATACTTTTGCCACCTAGCTATGCACCATATCCCTCTTTGTTGGTACCATCTACCTACTAACCTGTAGTGGCAATCCATTCTTCACTTAAAGACTGAATTCCTGGGTCACCCCATTTAATACCCTGACTGGATCTCCTTATTATGAATAAACTTTTCATTTCTCCACCTCAGCCTTTCTCTCCCAGAGTCACACCTGAAACCCGTCATAGCCTGTCATTCCATTTCCAAAATCACTAAATGTCTGTTCCTCTCATCTGATCGCCTGTCCTCGTTTATTGTTTCCACTCCAGCCAAAGCCCTTACCTTCAAGACTGTAGACTGTGGGTTTTTTTTGTTTGTTTGTTCTTCTTGTTGTTGTTTTTCCAACCAGGACAATTCTTGGACAACACTGGGACCTGAGATCCACCGATCTCTTACTCTGTCTACATCCCCCAGCCCTCTAGGCTCTTTTCCCTTTCTCCTCTACACAGCAGCCACCCTAGTTCTAAAACTAGATGTTGGACTTCACCTCTGTTACCCCTCTGCAGCATTTGATATCTTGTCACCCACTCCCTTCCCTGGCTGTGGTGTCCCTTCTTCCACTCTGACCACCCATTCTTATTCCCCTTTGCTGGCTTAAACACTGACTGCTACATATTTCTCAAGGTTTTGTTAATGATCTAGTTTTGTTTAACCATCCCCAGATAATTCCAGCAATTACATGGCTTAATTTACCATCTATATGTTTATGGCTCAGGGGAGGGACAAGATTTATGAAATAAAATGAGGCAGGAGCTTGTATAACATGAGAAGCACTCAGGACTCCAACTCTCACATCTTTTAGCTCCACAATCCCATCATTCTCCCTTCCTGACTTAAGGTTTGGCTATTTTGTTTACCTGGAACAGCGATTTCCAACCTTTTTCATCTCATGGCACACATAAACTAATTACTAAAAGTCTGCAGCACGCCAAAAATATATATGTTTTTGATGATCTAACAAAAAATAGGTATAATTTTGATTCATTCTCACCAGTTGGCAATTGTTGTGTTGGCTGTTGTCATTTTTTTTATTTGACAGTGTAAGGGAAAAGAGGTCAGTGCCTCTGACTAGTCAGGTGTTGCATGTTTTAAAAATTCTTGCAGCACACCATTGTGCTGTGTCACAACAGGTGAAAATCACTGACCTAGAACCTTATCACAAACTCTTCCTCAATTTTACTAAGCCTTTAGTTCCCTCAAGTTTTCCCTCACCATGTAGACTTTAGCCAGTGCCTTTCTTTTCTAGGCTTTGAGTACCTTGTACTTGCACTGCAAAGCATAGTACCTGGTTTAATATTTAATGTCTATCTCTCTGGTTAAAAATATAAACCAACTAGAATGAAGACTATATCTGTCCTATTCACTGTCTTCTGTCCTTCTCTCAGTGTTTTAAATATAATGGATATCAAATAACTACATATTAAATAAATGGAGAACTACATGAATAAAATATAGACTTCATTTTTACAACTTTTTCTTTGGCTAGCATATCAATGGCCACTACATATTCACACGTTCATATGTTATTAGTGCTATCTAGTCACTTCCCACAGTTATTATTATCACAGAGCTGAAAACCACATATACAAGGCCTGGCACAGATAACACCCCTTTTTATTACAAAATTTTTTATTGCAAAATCATAAGCATGTAATTCTGTAACATAACAACATCACACTCAAGCACACCATATGACATTGTAGGTTAAATTTCCAAATTAAAACTATAAATTAGTACAGCCATATTATTACCCTACCAACCACACTCAAGTAAACTTTACTTCTGCTGGACCCTGTATTTTACCTTATTTTATCTATAAAAATGCATATTGCAAATCTTGTGTTTTTACATAAACTCAATGCTATTACTGAAAACATTATAGTTATGTAATACCCCATACATTTCTTTGGTTCAAGTGAGAACCACAGACTGGCTCGGGGAGGGAAAGTGAGACCCTGAGGACTGAGTGTGTGTGCACAGTGGCTCCATGTTCCTGAGGCACATGATTGGGGCCCCACGGTGATGAAAAAAAGAAGATTCTCTGTCAGGCACTGCTTCAGTGATGTCAAGCCTTCAACTTGAAGATCAGATCCAGAGTAAAATGAGGAAAAATACAATGTGTGCAAAGAATAAAGAGGAACCCAGATAAATTTGAACTGGTATGTACCAGGCCTCTGCGACTGCTCTTTGGTTGTACTCCATAAATAAATCCTCTTTTATTTAGTGTAATTTCCACTTAGCTTGTCATTAGAATGAGTCATTAGGATCCTGCCTGTTCAGATAAAACAACTATTAAATTATTTCTCCAGTTATTCTTGGCTTGTGGTTTGCATACTGCTTTTAGTGTTCCTGCCGAAAGCAATGATTCAGTTACAAGGTCCTGAATTTTTTTTCTCATGAACAAAGAAAAGAACAAATAAACATTACCAAAAATAAGATTTCCATGAAAAAAATTAAGCAATATTTTCAAACTCATCTTTCATCTCATACCTAAAGCAATGTTGTTGGGTAAACATCATTTTCCAAACATTCATTGAGATTCCCTGCTCATGATTATACTCACTGGCGGCCCTTCTCCCCAGGGGCACATAGGTTTGCTTTTCCTTAGAAAGCCACATAGAGCCTGTCTTGGCCCAGGGACTAAATATCATTCACACTGAAAACAACATGAAGTATCCCAGATAAAGTACTTCACTTTATGTTTTGTAAAAATCACTCACTCTCCTAACAGACTAAAAAATAACCACCTCCTTCTCTGCTTATATAAACAACCTTTCTTTCTACTGTCCCTATCTTTTTTTTAATCAGAAAAGTAAATTCAAGTAATACTTGGGAAGAAATTTCTCATTAACTAACTTTGTTACTCAGAAATAAATTCTACTTTGATCAAGAACAATAGAAACAGTAATTCAGGGACTATATATTAAAATAAAGAAATAAGATTAAAATCTAATCATAAGGAGTATAGGTTTGTGATGCACATCAATCTATCATTCCAGGAGAACATGTAATTTTCTATGTAATGTGTCTTCTAATGTGTGTGTGTGAGAGAGAGTGTGTGTGGAGTGTATGCATA